TGTCTTCTTCTTCTTCTTCTTCTTTTTCTCTTTCTCCTTTATCTACTCTCCCAAGAAAATGGAAACACAATGTCTTCCCAAGCTTCCATGGAGCAGATGTCCGCAAATCATTTCTTAGTCACATTCTAAAAGAGTTTAGAAGCAAAGGAATCAGCACTTTCCTTGACAATGACATAGAGAGGAATAAGTCAATAGGTCCAGAGCTCATCGATGCTATTAAACAATCCAAGATTGGGATCGTCTTGCTCTCCAAGAACTATGCATCTTCCTCTTGGTGCCTAAACGAGTTAGTGGAGATCATGAAGTGTAGGACAGAGCTTGGTCAAATCGTTATAACCATTTTCTATGAAGTGGAACCAGCTGATGTTAAGAAGCAGAGGAAAGATTTTGGGAAAGCCTTTAAAAAAACTTGTAAAGGCAAAACAAGTGAAGAGATTGAAACATGGAAACAAGCTTTGGAAGGTGTGGCCACAATCGCTGGTTACCATTCAAACAACTGGTATACATACTTACATACATAAATGCCCATTTTGTCTTTTGCTTGTCCTAACTAATTTTTTTTTTTGTCACACCACTGATGATATACATAAATTTTATTTGTAGTATATTAAAAGAATACAGGAACTACCTATTTTAACGGAATTATGAATTGGTATCTCTATTTGTTAGGGATAATGAAGCAGCTATGATCGAAAAAATAGCAACTAATGTTTTAAACATGTTGAGCAATTCCACGCCATCAAGAGATTTCGAGGAATTAGCTGAAACTGGTGATCATATTGAAAAATGGAGTTTTTTTTTTTTTTTGAATGTTTAAGAGGTTCTGGACGTGTAGGATTATACACTACTCTTAAATCAAGACTCGTATCATGTGATATAATTTTTATTTGAAGTTTAAACCCTTCTCAGCGCGACTTGAACATGTGACCTTCAGTATCCAATGAAGAAAATACAGAACATTGCCATAGACAAATTTGGGATTCATCAAAGGATCATATTGGAAAATAGAGTTTTTTTATTTGAATGTCTAAGAGGTTCTGGACGTGTAGGATTATACACTACTCTTAAATCAAGACTCGTATTATGTGATATAATTTTTATTTGAAGTTTAAACCCCTCTTAGCGCGACTTGAACATGTGACCTTCAGTATCCAATGAAGAAAATACAGAACATTGTCATAGACAAATTTGGGATTTATATCAAAGGATGATCAATTAAATCTATATAACCAAATATTGACTCAGATGATCAGTTAGAAGGATACTATAAAATCTTCATTAAGAGACTTCATTTTCATTCTTGATGATGTGGATTGGTTAAGACAAGTATATTTAATGACAAAATAATCTTGAACGCACATGTGATCAACCATATTTACAGAGGAAATTTCAGTCAGTTGTTGAGGCTTTGCAAATATTATGTACTTATATTTTAGAAAAAATGATTGACAAATACAGGAAAGATACACCATTACTTGACTACACATCTAGATTCAAAAATATATCAGTTAAACATGTGATTTGTGGGATGATGCATGTATCTCATATCTCTCCTATAATGTTCAGTTGACAGTGCTCTATCACCAAGAATTGGTGAAAACACATGCCAACTGATCATTAGTAGAGATATGAGATAACTTCTATTATTGATCTATAAAATCTTTGTTAGACAATTTTATGTAGAATTTTCAAAAAAAAATTAAAATATTCAGAAAAGAAATTATTGAGTTTTTTTTTTTTGATCCTTAATGTGTAGATAAAAAGGATACATTCGTACTTAAGATTATGATTTCATTCATAAATAGTGATTTTTTTGTATTTTATAATGAAACAAACGGCTATTAAAACCACAATTCTTACAAATATCAATTACAAAATTTATCCTTGATGTCAACAAAGGCTAAATGGAAAGTGTAAGAGTTAGTAGTTCACACAAATTGGAAAGAGTATTACACATGTGGTGAAAACTTAAATTTGTAAATTTATCGTATTTCTTAAAAAAAAAAAAAAAATCAAACAAAACCCAAGCCTCTGTTACTTGTTATGTTTTTTAAAACAGAAGCTTGAAAACAACCATGTAGATCAATGCTTACTGTCATTTCTTATATATATAATCAACTGTTCTTTGGAGCTGAGATAATTGCAGAGTGATATCCAAGACTCGTCCCCTAGATTGCTTCAAGTATTGTGCACATCCACCCAACCTGTCTATCATGAAAATATCCCTTACGTGTTTATAAGTAGATAACTTAGAAGCATCAACTATTTGAGCTTCCAACTCATCCAAAACCATATCCACCTCCTTTAACTCAGACTCGAGTATACCGCATAATAGATCATATGTCAAAGCCTTTTCAAAGGATGCTGCTGAAGAATCAAGTGTCCCCAACCCTTCATTATCATTATTATCTGAAGCCAAAAGTTGCATCAGAAGAAGAAACATGTTCAGTAGTTTTTCACTAGTACCAACCAAATCGATGTCTAGTTTTGTCAATATCTTCAACATCCCTTCTATTGTTTGTTCCTCCATTTTTGTCCTGGAAACGTCAAATTTTTAAAACTTAGTTATGAACAAGAAAACATTCTAATAAAAAAAATAGAAATTAAAACGATTTCATAATGAGTTTATAACTACAAATTTTGTTTTATCACCTAACTTGTTATGGATCATTTAATATAAGTTTGTGTTTGTAAAAAAAACTACATATTTTGTAAATGTAGAGGAACTTTTTTCCAATGGAACTGTTAAGAACCTCCCTCTTGTATTCTTTGTTACAATGGCCTCGAGTGCCAATCACGGCACTAGTCTTATAGACACAAGACATAGACTAGTGAAAGATCAAAAGTCAACAAGCGAGAGAACAAAACTCAAGAAACATAAATGGTTGGTTCCTTTTACTTGAAAACAGACAAGCAGAGAGAGTTACGAGAAGTCAAACATGATCTGGAAAGTAATAACCTTACCGATGAGATGATGATGAGATTGTACAAGAGATCCTGTTGAATAAACAGATTAGGAAGATGTTATATCAAAGAGCTTTCTACGTCAACGAACTCGAGCTTGGACGTTTTCAAGAGTCCCAACTGTCCGAGAATGATAACTAATGCTAACGATAATAAAAGCGTGCGCATGATAGTTGCATTTGGGGATTGGGGTCGTGCGCGCGTTAGCTGAGGGCTTTTTTGGTTACTATTTATTTCTTCCGTTTCAAAAAATTAAATGTTTTAGTTTTCTTACACATATTAACATTCTAGAAAAAATATTTAGGTTTTTTTGGATAGAAAATTATGGCGAAGAGTCATGCACACCGGTTTAATTAACAAAAGAACGTGTCAAGGTTGTCTAAGATTCCAGGAAAACATGTTGTAGGGTGAATGGCTGACTTCAAAAATATGTAAATCATTGTTTATCATCTCCCTAGATTTCTGTTGAAGTTCTGGTTTATCATTTATGGTAAAGTGATGATGCATTCTTTGAAAGATGAAGGGGAAAAAAACGTATAATGATTGCTGTCTTGAGATGGTCAAGAATTCTCTTAAGCCTTTGCCTTTAGGCAGAGAGACACATGTCAATTAGTGTACCATCCGTAAGGTAATGCTTTCATGTTCTTATCACTTTTTTTTTTGAACATATGTTCTTATCACTTTTTTGCGACAAAGATGTTCTTGCACATTTGTCTCCATGGAAGAGCTTTAAAAAAAACAAGTTGCTATTAAAAAAAAAACAAGTTGTTATTCACTTCGAAATGAAAAAAAAAAAAGTTTGAGAAAGGACGAAATGAGAAAATATATGTATCCAAATAACATAGTTAAACCATTTTATATCTAAAAATTCTTATTTGAACTATTTCGATTTACAGAAGAATTCGTTTGTTTTTCTATCAAAATACTATGCCAGAATCAAACCGTAAACATAATAGCTAATCCTAGCTGATACCATTTGAGCATAGTTGAAATCTACGTGCTAGTGTTTCACAATAAAAATCGTTGTATAGTTATTGAAAATCTTTTAGTCAAAATAAAACTAAATAATAATTATTGAAAATTTTGATAATAAATTGGTATAAAATTTAATAGTGTTTGAATTTGAACTTGGTGAAATGAAAAAAACCATATTACTACTAGATTTACTACTTAATAATTGGTTTTATAGAGTATATATATTTAGTATGTTTTTGATTAAATATTTAGTATGTCTTCAACCCAATTGGTAATATATGCTTAAAATTCCAAAATAATATGTGTTTAATTAAGTTAAAAATACCAACAAATTTTGAAATAGAAAGAGTATTATTACACATGTGGTGATGCTGCGTGTATTGGTACAGTTAAATCTATCAGCTCAAATAATTTCAAGTCCTTACATGGTTCTTAATTAAAAAGAAAGAGGTACATAACGATAATTAGACCATGATTAACTCGAAGTTTTATGGTGAAATTTTAAACGGAAATTAAAAAACCGTTTTTTAATTTTTAACTAAAAAAAATAAGAATCGATTCTTAAAATCCTTATTTAAGAACCAGTCTAACGTTTCCAAATTAAAAGTTAAAAAAAAATTTTTAAACTTCTGCTAAAAACCATAACTTAAAAACTTCAGATTAATTATGCTTTTAATATTGTCGCATAGGATTAAACTATCGGACAAAAACAAATAAAAAAAGAGACTATAAAGTGAAGGTGTGGGCGGTAGATTCCATTATAATAAGGTTTTCTTAGGTCTTTGGAAATTGCAAGTCCCAAGACCAACTAATAATGACCTCGATCTCTGCGCT